TTTAACGCGAACGCGAAATTGGCCTGAACATTTTGTAAAAAGGTAATCGGGTCGAAATAAATCTTGGAACGCTGACCAATGACATATCGTTCGAGCAAGTTCGAACTTTACTTACGCGACAAATTGGTAATATTTCGGTTAAACCATTGCCGCGTACCGTATCATTACCGACCATTTGCCCCCCAACTTCGTTCACGGTTACAAATGATTTCTCCGATACATCTGACTAATTTATCCATTTGCATTCACGACGAGGAAAAGAGAGATATACTCTCCCCTTCCTCGAATACCTTTCCCTTGATAAAGCGATTTGCCACGAATTTAAAGAAAATCGATACGATATAAAAATTTCATCAAAATTACTTACCCCTTCTCCATCACTTTCCCATCCCATTCCTCGACAAATTTTTAAAAGATTCAATCTCATACTTTTGAAAGATTCAATCTCATACACCAACGCTTCCTTCATTTATCCTCCATTTATTAAATAACCCAACTCCAGCCATTCCTCAAACGTCATCTTCGTTCAACTTCACCCTCCGAAATTCCGAAACTTCCGAATTCATAAACCAACCGGCCATCCAATACGCATAATATATATCTCTTAAAAATGATAAAACGGTCTGTTTCGGTAGCCGAAACGAAAAGTTGAACGAATCGGGAATCGGTGGATACCGTTACCTGTGGTCCCGACCGCTAACATCATTATCGATCTAATGGGGGAGGCTAGCCTAATGGAATCTACGAATTTAATTTGTGGCCCCGGATCACGGCACGGTAGCCGCCAGATATCTTGGAACATAAATTCGAGGCGGGCGCGTCGTTAAAGTCAGCGTGGAGCGTGCGTGCGGGCACGCTGGCTTCGGTGATTTCGATGCGTGGTCGAGGAACGAATTCGTGGAGGGACGGTGAGAGATCCTGCGCTCTCTTGACTTGACGAAGGTCGTCCCGGTTGTGCGCAAGGTCGGTTATTCATCCGACCGTTTTGTTGCACAAGGATTTCGTATTAAAACGCTTTTGTAGCCCCCCTCCAATAGGAAACGGTATAACGTGGCCCCTCGTGGGGAGAAAATACGGTTCATATTCTGACGTTGTGAACGTTGCGATGATCGTGTAACATCGGAAGGTGGAAGAGAAGGGGAAATTGCCCCTTCGTCTTTTCATTTTGGCAGGCGTAAAGAACGTGTTTTTTGAATGTGAAAGAGAATTTTTATATTTTCCTCTTATTTTCCAGCAGAATTTTTATTTAATTTAGTAAACGTACAATGCGTTTATATCCCTCGTTTCGAGAGTGACGAAATAAGTATAATAAGAATAATAAGTAAATAAGGAGGATCTTTATCTGTCTGTAAAATAGATATAAAAGGCAGTAAAAGTTTTATGCTGTTTCGGTGTATAAATATACGTAGATACAAGATGTATCTTAATAAAGAAATAGAAGATGAGCTTAATTCCCTGTATTTATATCCCGATCTTTTTTATAATAATCCAATCTCACGGTGTCCGACAAGATGGTCGGCGATTTTCTCCGATTTTTTCTTCGAATTTTCAACGTAGCTTTACGACGCGAAAACCAGTTTCGGCAAAAATTTTACGACGATTTCTTTTCTTCGTCGCAAAATCGGTTTGGCCGCCCGTTTTTACGTTCTTCTTTTGTTGCATCACGCGGGATGGCATCCCCCCCGCCAACCGACTCGCGCCAACTTTCATAAAGATTGATTTTATTGATTTCAAGAAACTGTTTGAGACGGGCAGTGATATAGTTCGAGGCGATACGTCGCGTGATACATCGTTCGACTTTATTCCACTCGGTGATGCTCCACCGGCTTTAAAGTTTACTTTGAGGCGCTATTCTTTTTTAAACGGTATTAAATTTATGCCCGCAGTAAAAGGAGAAAAGTGTCCGCTTTTGTATCGAAACGAATTCTCCCGGCAATCTTCCAGCGACACTTTGCATGTTAAAATTTGAAAATTATCTTCGAGCGTAGTTTTTTCTTTTCTTTTTCTTTTCCCTTTTTTTTTTTTTTTTCTTTTAGAGAGAGAAAATTGGCTTTGATTCTTCTTATTTGGAAAAAGATACTATCACATTGAAATTTCACCTGGATATCTACTTGTTCGAAGCTCCTTCTGTTCGAACGAAGGAAGAAAAAGTATATAATTCCTGATAAAAATTCAAAGTAAGTTAGCCCATTTACGAAAATCACGGGGCAAAATTTATTCCAAAAGATATTATCAATTAAAAACAAATAAAAAAAAGAAAAAAGAAAGGAAATCTCCTTTAACAAACTCGTTACGTATCTTAAAGCATCTACACGCCTCGTATATAATAAAAATGAAGGAAAAAGTGCGCGTAATAACGGCATCATGACTTTATTAACTTTCTTTTTTTTCCTTCTTCTTCTTCTTCTTAAACGTAATTACATTTAATCCTTAACATGGCCGTATTTTATCACAAAATTCCACGAATATACGTGGAAACGAATATTTCCGTATATTTCCAACAATTTAATCGATTGATCCTTTTCTTCTCGCACAACAGTTTACCCTCGGGACAGGACTCGTTAAAATTCACGCATTCGTTATATATCAACCAGAAGCGCCACTTTACCCCGTAACATAATATATTAACGGTAATAAAGTCGTATTATACGAGTGGAAAAAACGACGAATGGGGAAAATTCTTAAAAAATTCGACCGTTTCGAGGGAAATGTGGGGAAGGATTTGTGCAAAAAAAAAAAAAAGAGAGGCGTTAAGGGCACGTGGGCGGTGTGTCGAGAGATGCTGGAGCGCGAGGCTGCGAAATGGATCACGGATGACCTTGAAACTCTTGATAACGATCGACATCCGCCTAATTAACGCACACTCGAAGATACGGACGTGACAAGCTGGCAAAGTGGATCGAACGTGAGAATCTAGACCGATTTTCCCGTCTGTGTATCTGTGAGTAATTCCTCCGTTTAATTAATCCGCGGATCCTCCACACAATGGAGGATCACGACTCGAGAAAAGTTGAGTGAAAAGTTCTTAACCTTCGATCGTTTTATAATAAGTTCAATGCCGAGTGAATTGATTTAACTCAACGTCACGTTTCGTTAACGACATCGTTTTTGTTTTTTTTTTTTTTAAATTTTTAAAGTTTTTTGAAAGTTCGTGTGACACAAAAGGTAAATTCGAGATGTTTTATTTTTTTTTTAATAGGTAGGTGTTTCTATGGAAAAATAAAAAAAAAAAAAAGAAAGAAAAAATAATCGAAAACTGTCACGAGAGAACAGATATACCGTTTTTCGATACTTAACTTCGATGATATTAAATGGGAACGCGATTAAAAATAATTCGAAGGATACATTCCAAGTATTTTGAGATTGAAATACGTATTCGATATTGTCATATTGAATTAAAATATATAGCATTGTAAATTATATGAGAATTTTTCTGATCGAGCAACGTCAGGATTGAATTACATCAACGAGGTGGATTTTATTGCAAATGCGAGGTTGAGATACAACTTTGTTGTCCGCTAATAGTACGGATCAATGCCAATTGTTTAAGGGTTGAAGAGGGAAGAAAAAGAAAATGAGAGATACGATAATTCATCAATGTCACATTTTTTTGTTTCGATGTTTTTTTTTTTACGTTCTTTGTTATAGGCAGATAAATAAACGTCGTTTAATCGCGTTACAGCCTTAACGATTCAACATAATGTGCAACATATGTTTCACAATACTTTCTCTTGCACCATTGTGCGGCAACAAAAACTTAATCGGACGTGAATATCACGGTCATAGCTTTAGCGTATAAACGAGGTGAACTAGTGCCTTGAAAAGAGAGGAAAAAAAAAAAAAAGAAAAGAATCGCGATGGCGATCAGATCGTTACTATGCTTGATTTGCTTGCAAGGGAGTGACCGAAAGGTATAGCAATCCTAGAAGAAAAGTTTCTGCAATATCCACGAATTGCTCTTCGATTCAATTATCCTTGATTTTGGTATAATTTTTCATTTCTTGCAAATTCATGGGATAAAATTTTAATAAATCCTAGAGAACGATACAATGTCAGTTTTCAAAATTTATTTTTTGCCATAATTAAATTTGAATTTCTTATAAAATTAGATATATATATATTTCTCTTAAAAATTTCAAGCAAAATATTCTCCACACTTCTTTCATTATCTAATACTATCTCCAAGAATTGCAACTTAAAATCTTTACCATCCACTCATCTTATCAACAATACTCTCTCCCAAAAATTCCAACCAAAACATCAAATCCTCAGCAATAACACCATCCTCAAGAATTCCAACCAAAATCTATCAATACATCTTTCTTCCATCCAACATGCATCCTCAGCATCAAAAAAAAACACCTCCAACAATTTTCCCAACGCTCTATCCTCATCAATAACCAAAAATGCTCAAAAATTCCAAAACCTCTTCACACATCTCTTTCCATCCCCCCCAAGCTTTCACCCCATTCAACAACCAAAACTACCTCAACCAAAACCTTCCCCCGAAAAATTCGAATCGAAACACTTCTCCCATCGTGTCAAACACGGAACAGAGAAAAGAAAGTTATAAGAAGAGAGCACAGAGTCGGAAGGAACGTCGTCACACAGCGTCGTCATCCCGAAATTCCCCAACGTCTCGCGACACCCGCCAAGGTTTCAACGTCCGCGCGATGCAACGACGGACACGATAGGTGCAGAAGGAGGAGGAGAAGGAGGAGGAGGAGGAGGAGGAGGAGGAGGAGGAGGAGGAGGAGAGGGAGGGAGGCGATTCGTCAGCCCGGTCCCACGACGTTCCGGTTAGCCGAGGTAAATCGTGCGAGGGAGCACACGGTGGCGGAGGTTGAGAATCGCGTGTTAGAGAGAGGGTAGAGAGGCGAGTAGAGGCGATCGGCTCTCTCGGATCAGCTGTGAGAGCGGCGTGGCGCCGTGTGCCGCGGCTCTGACCCGCTGTCAGTTGCCCGAGCCCTGTGCTACGGTTAGGACCGTGCAATCGTCACCTTTTTTAACGAGCACGAGGCAAGCTCCGCGGCGTATCGAGACGAACGGGCTTCGCGCGTCGACTAGTCTTCGCCTGGGAACCGCTCGTGTCCCACTCGAACGAATTGGCCGAACGAGAAGACCGTGGTCGCCGACCGATTCGCCGATCCCGCAGTCCAATTGTCGAAATCCTCGTGGGACGAGTGGATTTGGTTCAGCGATCGTCGACGAAAACGTCGAGGACAATTCGATATATCGAAGCCGATCCGCTCTCGAGAACAAGAAACCGTTCGCGATCTGCGCGATCGTGATCGTGATCCACGAAGGTTGGATCCGTTCGAATTGATTTCGAAACATCGTCGGACGAGAGAATAATATATCGAAGTCGCGAGTTATTCGAAATTGCTTCTCGATCGTTGGATCCTTGCGTTTCGATCATCGTGTCTAGACGATAGAAGAGGGGGGGAGGAGGGAGGAGAGAGGCCGAGTTCGAATATCGTGGTGGTTTTTGTGGTGGATTAAAGTGGTTAATTCGAGGTTAATTCAGAGAGAAGAAGAAGAAGAAGAAGAAGAAGAAGAAGAAGAAGAAGAAGAAGAAGCCGCATGCCTCGCTGACAAGTTCTCAGGATGGTCTGGTAGAGGAGAAGGAGACGGAGGAGAAGAGAGAGGAAGAGAGAAAGAGAGAGAGAGAGAGAGAGAGAGAGGTCTGATGGTTCGATCGCGAGAAATGGCGTGCGGAATATCGTTCGAAGCGACTGCCACGAGCACGGTACTTTTCCTGCTGGTGAGTAACGTAAATTTGAACGAGCACGTGCTTCTTCTGAATCATTTTATACATTATATAGATTTTGCAACACGCCACCGAACCTGCCACTCCCGCTCACTTTTTTTTATATTTCGAGATTCCTCGACGGTGTATCCTTCGCGTGTCTCGATTTTTCTTCTCCTCGTTCACTAAGAAGAAACGTAACCGCCCGTAACGAGGAATTTATTACACCTTTCGAGAAGTTCATTTTTCTTTTTTCTTTTTCTTCTTCTTTTTTTTTTTTTTTTTTTTTTTTTGCGCCGAATGTTAAATTCAAAGGGCGCCCGTTATTGGCCCGTAAATCATCCCAATTCGAGATGCTTTTGTTTTGAGTTGTTACGTTCAATTGGAAGGGAACGAGGAGAACCGTGAATTATTTTTACGACCAGCTTAACCCGCTCGTGTGGTCACCATTGGCGTAAATACGAATATCGAGTGGTTCGCTCGAGGTGGTACTCTCTCGAGGATGCATTGTACCTAAACTCTATGTTTGGTAAGAGTAACATTCACGTTGAACCCGTTGGAATTCAAACTTGCGATCGTATGCTTTTAGACGCGTGCGATTTCGCGTGCTATGGATCATGCAAGATTTTAACCAGAAGAGATCGTTGACCCTCGACGATTCGAACTGCACGTTCAATGACTATATACTACGTAATTTTCGATAATTATTTATTTCGTTCATTTTATTTATGAAAAGAAATTAATTTTTATTTACAAGGAAGAAATATTCGTACCCGATTGTATCCCGACGGATTGAAACGAACGATATTTAACGATGCGTTTATAATTCATCACTTGCTCGAGTTTTAAGGATATGTTTTAAGCAGTGTCGTTTAAATTAAAAAAAAAAAAAAAACTTGCGAAACTTTTCTCGATAAATAATTGGGATATATCTTATATAATTTTTACAAGGAAAATTCTCTGGCAGAATATCTAAGAACACCAATCTCTTTCATAAACCACATTTATGCTAAATAACTTTAAATTACATCACAGATCGTAAATGTCACGAATTCGCCAACATCAACCTTTCTTACGTCCTGGATGCGATCCGTCATACACTTTCTGAAACGCCACCCTTTATACGAACCGTGACATTTCCTTCACGGTGATTTCATCGATTCTCTTTACAGAAGATTTCAATTATTCCTTTCAATTATATATATATATATATATTTTTAAAATCGTAATTAATATATACGATTACTCTTGCGCGAATGAAACAGAGAAATTGTTTTAAATTAAAATACCATTTAGTTATTTCGTAACTTGGATGATTGTTAACAAATGAACATACTTTTTTCTTTTTTTTTTTTTTTTAATAAACATCGTGTCGACGATGTGCAAATTACACTACATTGAAATTGTTAATTCAGGTATTCGCAATCTAATATACAATAGACTTTCACCGTCTATTGTTAAATTCTGCGATCGTAAATCATCGTGCACCTCTTCGTCGAAGAATAATAATATTTTCGCTCGTATCGAATTGCATCGTATCGATGAATATTAACGCAGGTTAATATAAACATCGTTTATCGTATACTTTACATTATCGTTAATTTACGCGTACAGAGTTTGTTTCGAGAGAGAGAGAGAGAGAGAGAAAGAGAAAATTTCTCTGTCGGCAAATGGATCCCAACCTACCCCACGACAACGCTCAACGTGTCCGTGTCCATCTACGTTCCCAATCGAATCAAGGTATCCAACTCGATCACTCAAAAAGTCATTATCACGAACCCGTTAACATTAACCTTCACGCGGCTCGAGCGTGGACAGCCGCGCACTCCCAACAACTCTTCTCCTCACGCAAGCCGTGACATTTCTCCTCTCGATTTCATCAACATCACGTATCCAAAGACGTACCTGGCACGATGTTATAATTTCACGCGGGATCACGACTTCGTACTCATATCTCGCGAAATTTCCAAAATTCGTGGCACACAATCTTATGCCGATTATTATTCTTTTTTTTTTTTTTTTTTCTTTTTTCAAATGGAAATATTTATGTAATTTTTCATCTTTCGGTTCGAGAGATCGGTTTCAATACCCTTTGCACTATGAGTCACTTCTCTCTCTCTCTCTCTCTCTCTCTCTCTCTCTCTCTCTCTCTCTCTCTCTCTCTTTCTTTCTCACTATAAACTCTTGAGTCACATTTCTTCTGGCGTGATATTTAGTTAACGAAACAAAACGAGAAATCAAAATTATTGGAAATTAATTACATTAAATGGTCTAGGATCTTCCGTAATTGGCAATTTTGCTTTTACAATCCTTCGTTCCACGATGGATTTTTATTACCGAAAATGATACATCCTTGGCGACAATCACTCTCTTACACATATACAAAAGATCCATTTGATTCAACGAAATCTGAAAGGCTCTTTGGAACGGAATTAAAAAGAAAATTAGACAAGGATCCGTTTCTTCACGTTTATTATCGTTCGATTATATTTCGACGCGAGCATTCAACGTGGCTCACGCACCACGATACACGCGTACACTAGAGTCAAGGATACAGGCGTTATCTCGCCGGCGATTGCTATACTTAACGCGTATAGGTACGTAGTAGTAGTGGTAGGGGAGCGGAGTTTGTGTGCAAAATGCGCACACGTCGGTGAACGTTGTTTTCGTTATGCAAGCTGGTGGAATGTTAAGCTGGCGTGGTTCCTTCGGAAGATTACGCTCCGGCGATATACATCTTATGCAATAAAGCACGCGAGCGGCGATAGAAACTCTGAAACTCGAGGTTTCAAACGATGGCGATTCTCGTCATTCTAGAAATAGAGGGAAAGGTTTGATATCCGTGATTTAACGTGGACGAAGGTCGTGTTGTGTGGAGTCGAGCCGTGGTGAAACCGACTGTCGTGATGAAGGAGAGTAGCAAGAGTAATTCTGTTCGATCGATTGAGAATTAGAATTTAGAGTAGAGTGGAGCTCGACAGGATATCTTGGGGATGGAATCGTTGAAAATGGATTCTGATGGAAGTTTTGTAAAATTTTAGAGATGGAAAAGTGGATCGTTATCGAATCTTTTTGTTTGAATTCAGATCAATTTTAAAGGAATGGTGACAGAAAAGCTGAAATATGATTAAAAATCGTGTTCGATGAGGTAGGAAATGTGTTCTTTCGTAGGACACGTTGTAAATAATTTTGACGAAGAGAGTAATCGAAATCTCTTGGATTTTTGGATTAAATTAACAAGACTTGACTGACTTGAAAGAACTCGAAGAATAGCTGTTTTATAAGACACGTGTAAATCTTGAAAATCGTTAAAGAATTATCGATACCCCTTCGAAGAGAATAGACATTTGACATGGATAGATATTTATCGTGCACGCACGAGGATGAATAAAATACGCGCAATATTCCCTCGCGGATATTCCCTCCACGTATTTCTTGAAACGTCTGTTCGTGAATTTTGTACATTTCACTCACTTTCGCCACAAGAACTGGAAGAATATAAATTATTGCATTAAATTCATCGACCGATATAACATCTCTTTTCTTCTCTCTCTCTCTCTCTCTCTCTCTCTCTCTCGAAAATCTTCACAAAATATAAACTCTCAAAAATTAATATTCCAGATTACAAATTCTCATTCAATTTCGTAATCCAAGTTCAAGAACCACGCTTTAAGAACCACAAAAAAAAAAAAAGAAAAAGAAAAAATGATCTCGATCCCACGATCGAACTCTGATCTCATTTTCATCCTGAAGAAACCTGCAGCAACCTTCATTCGTAGAAATCAGAGTATCGAGACCTGCCACTTCGTAATTATCAAAACTACCACGAGCATTATCAATCATCCGTCCAACGCAGAGAAACAGAATTAATCCACCGATTAATCGCGTTTAATCGATCGACCAGGTCCCCTCGTAGCGGCTAATTACACTAGCATCTGCCGATCCTCCTCGGATTCCTATCCTTGCCTCGAAATTCCTTCCGATTTTTTCCCTTCTGGCCCCGATACGGTAATCCTGGCTTTCGATTGTTCTTATTCAACTCCGAGAGCGTTGCGCCAGGAATTCGAATGGACGATGTTACGAGGACGATGTCCTCCCGAGGATTATTTTCGGTTGGTTATACTCGAAATGGGGGGGGGAATGGCACCGAGAATTTTAAACGAGAAGGAGAAAGTGGGATCGAGACGATACGTTAAATTTGTATTAGGATTAAATTTCAGGTTTGAATAAAATTAGGATGTGATTGGTCGAATTGGACGAATTCGAAGAAGTGTGGGGCAAAGTATGAAAATTATTCCTTCGTTTCTCTCGTTCTCACGAGAAAATGAAAGCGAAAACGAATAGATAGAAGAGAATCGATATGATAAAAATCGTTGGAAATATTCCACGAATCAGAGAGCTGAAAACGTTAACAATTAACGGGGGATTTTATTCAATTTCTTGTCCACCAAAGATCCTCCCCTCTCCTTCTCCGGTGAAGTGGAATTTCGAAAATTGAGATGCGACACCACCTAGCGACACCTCGTCTCGTTCTCTCGGCGATAATCCGGCGCAAGATTTTTTTAATTTAGCAGTGCAAACGGGGATACGTAATTGGGCAACGAGCCGTTTAAAAGACGATACATGTTAAATTAAAAGGGGGGAGGGGAAAGAAAAGGAAAAGAAATCGGGAGCGAAGGCAAGGGACGGCGTGGAAGTGGCGACAAACCACGTATAAAACCGGGCGCGGGGCTGTCCCGGTTAATTAAATGGCGAGGAGATTGGAACAACGTGGTCCTGAAAATTGATACCAACCGCTGATACACCCCGCTGTGTTAACGAGCGACCACCGTTGTTCGGTTGGCAAAAAGTGGCGTACCGTCGATGCTTACGATAACACGTTTTAAGTATGTTTGGCGGAGTGCCGCGCGCGAAACGGTAGCGGTCGTGAATAAAAATGCGCGTGTCGCGTTTCGTAATGCGACACGTAGACGATGTTACGTTTTTGCGTCGTGCGTTTTCTTTGGCCCGCGGCA